GATGTATTCTATGCCGGGCTAAATGTGCATGGTAAAATCAGGAAGTTTGTAGTATTCATATTATCATTTGACTCTAAACAAAATTATATAGTATTTTAAAATCGATATCTTATATAATTACTTTAAAATGTCAGATATATGCCATGTCCGTACGAATAGCAAACATAATTCGGACACTCTGTTTAAATATTGTTCTCGGTTGCGCAATCGCCGCACTGTGAAAAATTATACGTTTAATGAAAGCGCGCTTTAAAATATCATATTACAGAAAATATATAGAAGTAATTACTAAATGATTCTGCAGATTTTGTAATTAAACATTAATGCATAGGAAGCTAATTCAAAGACAACAACAAAAAGCAAAAAAAAAAAAAAAAGAAATATGAAAAAAGAAAAAAAACTTGAGTATTGGGATTCGAACCCATGACCATAAAATCGAAAAAAGGTTGGGACGATTCCCCCGAGACATTCTGTGAAGCTGAGGCGGCGAATCGATTTACATTCCGGTTAGAGATTTCGGCTCTTCCATGCTATCCCGATAATTGGYCCTAACTTCGCGCTAACTAAAAAGCCAGTGAGGGAGAAGCTATCCGGCCCCTAGACACTGATGGATAACCCCTTGCACTAACTAGGCAACTATCGAAAGTATAATGTCAAATTGGGGTAGTCTATTCGGTGAAAGTGCCAAGTGGTCTATTATTATGCAAATGAGAGTGATCCAGTGGCGCACCGCGTTAAGGCGCCTCTTGCAAATCCAATGTAGGTTTGACGGTAGCGGGATCGATTCCCTGGAGGAGACGTTTAATGATTTTGTTTTTTCCTTTTTATTTTATTTATTGTTTATCTTTTTTTATCTATTTATTTATTTTTGCATAATTGTTGTCATCTCTTGTGTTTCACTTTCCCGAGAACCATCTTTTTTTTACGAAGTGGATGCATGATCGGCTCCCGCTCAAAGTCTTCGATGTACTAACATACTAAATGAGTGCTAGTTTTGTTTTGGCCAAAAAAATGTTTTATATCTTTATTAGCAATCTAAAAAAAGATGTCAATTCATATTATAACGTTCTATTTCGAGCAGCTTTAGCTTCTTGTCGCACTTAGCGTGACGAAGGATCCCGCTCAATTAAGGTCTTCGATGCACTAAATGAGCGGGAGTTTTAAAATGTACAAAACAAATCCCAAAAATACTATCTAAGAATTAAAAAATCTTTTATAACTTTATTAGCAATCTAAAAAAAGATGTCGATTCATTATTGTAACGTTCTATTTCGAGCAGCTTTAGTTTCTTGCCACACTTAGTGTGACGCAGGCTCCCGCTCAATTAAGGTCTTCGATGCACTAAATGAGCTACTCTGCGAAT